CCGTGTGTGTTACCTACAGCAGAAGGTGCGGATCCCTGCTGTAGCATGGCTCTGATCCAGCAAAATGCCTACAGAGGCTGACTTCAGAAAAATACTAATTAGCTACTTATTTGTTTAAACAAATAGAACACAAATTTGAATAATGAGAAAGACGAGCACTGTTTAAGAAGCACCAATCTTTATATGAAACTATAAAGCTCTTTTGTTCACATTAGTGAGTAGGAAATACGTTCGTACAGTAGGGCCATGCTTTAATAGTTTAAAAATTCTACATGCTAATGCCTTAATGCAGTAGCTTCATTTAACAATTACTTTTTGCTGTAAATTTAAATTTTCTAGAATATTTATAGGGTTACTTTTATTAGTTTTGGCAGAAGAGATGCTAAAAACCAGCTCATCGAGATTATTTTTTTTATGGTGTCTCATATTTTGCTGGTAGGGAGATTCTTTTGCTGAGGAATTGTGAACTTTGGTAGCAGTCAGAACAGGCCTTATTTAAAATGTTAAACTGCCTCTCACCCAAGACTGGCTTTCGTGTCAACAGCAGTAAAGCCAAATATAACCACAACTGTTTTCTGTATTTCTTACTTATTTGATTTTTCAGGAAGACCAGCTGGCACAGTTTCTCAATCCTATTTGCCATTCCAACCTCTTGTGGTGCCTCTAGGTAATGAAAAACTTTGAGATACATTGATACAATTTCTCACTTATGTCATGACACTCTGGGCCATAAACTTCTACTTCTCTAGAAGCCATGCAGTGCAGAACTGCTGACCAAAGATGCTGTTTGGTTCCTCCAGCTTCCACATAGCTCTGCAGACTTTCTGACATGGAGGGTCCTAACAGAAGTAGCTATTTACATTCTGTGTAATTGGTATGTAAAACTTCCACATAATTCTGAGCAAATGTTCATTTATTGTGTTCAACTTTACAGAAGTACTTGGAAGTAACAGTTGGGATCTTGAGTTTATTAGAGGTGCTTTAAAGATACATAAAATAAGTACCTGTTATTTCTGTGACTACACACCAAATAAAACAAAAAAATAACAGCTTCAGTGTTAGCTTTTAGCATTGGAGGGTTGATTAATAAAAATTAAAAGGTGAGATTAAAATCCTATACACAATTTATTCCAAAGTAGATGTGTGTGAATCAGTTTATACAGAAAAGAAAGAATTCCTATATACGGACTACAGCTGTTGAAGGCTAGCAGAAACAGCAACTGTTTTTACCTTAATTTTAAGTGGAGTACCTTTTTTATTTTTTTTCATATGCACTCTCTTGAATTAAAAAAAAAAAGGCTACTTTCATTTGCTATGATATGCGCATCTGAATTTCAACTAAGCTTCATCCTCCCTTCATAGATGAGAAGGAAAAAGCTCCCCCAGAGAACAATCTGTGTGACACATTCTACAGAAAAAAAACTTAAATAAAAGATCAATTGCTGTGTGCAGGTACCTTTTTTGTGTCTGTTGACCATAAGGGGATCCTAAAAAGATTAACTCAGGCTTAGATTTCTACTTAGTAGCTGTCTCAACCTTAGCAATGGCTCCAACTTCCACGTACTGTAGGCACACAATTTGTCTGATGTTTATTCTAGTGACTAGTGGGCTTTAAGTCAGCTTTATTATCTTGTAGCATTAAAAGACACACACGTCCCCCTGTTAAAGAAGAGGGATGCAGCCTACATCTATTCCATCTCTGTATTATGTGACTCTACTGGCTTTGAGGCTGGAATGAGCGTGTGAGCAGTCACAGCAGAGCAGATGCTGGAATTCATGAGATTGGAATAACAGGAACAGCAGTGCTGGCTTCAAACAGCAATCATTGCTGTGACTTAGAGCTGCAGCAACAGTTTATTCTGGTACAGCAGAGTTTAGCAGAACAGCTGAAAATCATACTTGTTACAACAGTAAGCAGACAGGAAGGGAACTTTAGGGCAAGGTAAATATGAAAAACTGGGTGGGCAGGAAGGGAGGGATGGGTAACTGTTCCCTCCGTGACAGTCATGAGGAACAGAAGCACAAAGACACAAAACGCGTCACATTTGGCAGTTTGGTCCCGTTACTATTCTGCTGTTGGCTTTTTTTTTTTCTTTTTTTTTTTCTCAAAGCTAGGAGGGTTTGGTGCAACGTTTAAGTGTAAACATACAGCTCCTGCTACATATTAGAAAAGTCAAAAGCAAGCAGGAAAGTCATCCCCAAGAACCTTTGACCCTTTGACCTCAAACACTTTCATACCTGTGAAGGAGCTCCTTTTTCTTCAGTACTTACAAATTTAATTAAAGAGCAGCTAATGCATGCCCCTGGAAGTGTTAAATTTGATGATACAGCTAAATCCTCTATGGCTTTAGACAACCTCAGCTGTTCTTGTGCAAGATCGCCTCCTGGTGGTAGCACCAAGAATCAGCAGAACAACAATTTGCACAGAAAAGGCAAAAACCTTGAAAAGCACGGTTTTTTTTTCCTTCTACTAGGACATCATGATAAATTGAACTGCGATTTAAATGGCCTGAATGGAGGACATACATTGGGACACTTGACTCAAAAAGTTTTCTAATAGCATGCTGGCAAGCAAAGCCTGAGAAGACTTCTGGGAGAAATATTTAAAAAAAAAAAAAAAAATCAGCAAGATAGCCAAAAATATACTATCAACAGCAATAAGTCTGACACACTTAATAATGTCCAAGACCTAGAAAATCATGAGGGCAACTTGGAATTACTGAAAGAGTAAGATTTTAATTAGGTCGTGCTTCAGATGACCCAGGAAGAAGACTTAGTAGAAGGGAATACACAAAGATTGAGAGTGGTGGCATGAATGTAGGAAAAGATTTAAAAATACTGATTTTATGAATTAATGTAGTAAAAAAAATGGCAGCGCGTACATGTAGTAAATGTGTGCTTTAGACTGATATTCCAGTAACTGGTCAGAAGAGGAAGTAGTTTAAAGACAGCAGTCCAGCACATCTACAGATTTTTAGACCTCAAAATGCCTGAAAAGCATCTGAAAATGTTTGGGAAATATTGAGAAATCCAACATTTCTATAGTGACTGTAGATGTTTGATCATAAAACAGGGTTTGACAGGCAAAAACAGACAAATGGGGTAGCAGAAAGTTTCTGTCTTAATAGTATTGGGCAGCAATAAGCAAAGTATCGGGGAGAAGGGGGAGAAAATAACTGAAAGTTTAAATTAATCCAAGGATGTATTTTCTTACACTGGAGTAAATCAAACAGTGAGAAATCAGGTCTCTGCTTTCCAAAAATAAACAGGGCTTGATTTTATGCAGCAGAACATCACAAAACACAAAATGTGAGATGTAGGCCTCTCACCTACACACTCGTGTCAGTACCAGGCATCACACATTTATGAAAACGCTAAAATCTGTTGTACTACCATTACTAAAAACCATTTAAAAAGTTACATTCTAGGCAGAAAATAATTCTTGTCATGTGATTGCAGAGCAAGCAGCAATCCCTGTCACGGAAGCAACAGACATTCCTTCCTGATGGCATGTTTGTTATCATGTGAGCAACACGTCGCGTGACAGGGAGCCAAAACCACTTGGCTGATGTGCCTGCCATGATGGGCTCGGATATCTCACAAGTGTAACAGAGGCAATAAGTGAAATGATTTCATCCCCTTCCATGATAAACCGCCATCAGGTAACTAGCATTCGGTTCTGAAAAGGTATTTTTAAAAATAATACTAAGCTAAATACTTAGACTAGCTTTATGTAAGATGTTCCAGAATTATTTAAAGGCAGTCTTTTTACAAACATCCAACATTGTTTTTTTCATAATTTCAGGAAATTTAAGGAAAAAGGTTATTTAGCAGTAACTTCAGAAAAATAAGTGTTCTTTACACTAACAACGACCCAAATTAGAGACTTTATGTGGTACTCCTCTTGCTGGCACAATGACACTAGACTAACATAAGAAACAAGAACCTTCCGAGCTTATCCAAGTTGCTTTGGAAAAGAAATACCATCAAAACGGATGACATATATGGGATAACTATTTTCCAGTGATTTATAAGGTTCTGCTAAGACTTAAATGAGGTCACTGGGATCTCTGCAGAGGCACAATGTTCCAAGCTTAGCCCTTTCTATCAGACAGCTGATGCCTAAAACTGCAGACTGGAGCAAAAATTCTCCTTTTCTGAGGAAAAAATACTAGGTGAAACAGAATATTAAAGTAGCAGAAATACTTAAAGACTAAAAAATGCTAAAAATATGAAGCAAAATGAAGCCACATCCATTTAGAGCTTTTTATATAATGAAGGGCCAATCCCTCCCCTCTAAGCTGGGAAGATCTCAGAGTCTTCACTGATTACCCTGCTGCAGCCAGGAACAACTCCTCCCCTGCATGACAGCTTTTCTGATTTCTGCACAAACATGCCATCCTCTCTGAACTATAGTTTAGGTATGGTTAAACACAAAACAAAGGAAAAAAAAAAAAAAAAACAACCACAGGAACCAGGAATGCAAACACAAGTTATCTTGGGTATTTGGGAATGCTGGGCTATTTAGAAGGGCAAATTACTATGTCTTGGAAGCTACGATTTAACCAAATTGGCTGGTTTTCAGTACATGACAATAGCCTTAAATACAATCACTTGGCTGATGTAGGATTAAACATGGAATCACGTATCTTACAAGCATAACTGAAGGAAAACACTTGCATCATTTTCATCAATACCTCAGTGTATTTCGGTTACTAGATTTCTAAAAAAAAAGGTATCCCCCAAAATATCACCAAACCCCAACATGTCCAGTTCTAGACCTCCCATTCTGACATGCTACTTCTACACCTACACTCCACTGACTGGAAGTTCTGCCCACATTTCATCGGCACATCAGACCAGCACATTGGCTCAACAGCCTTTGCTGGACCCTTGTTTCATTAGTGCAGTTCTGTTGGATTTCTGTCAACTACCTGAAGAAGAAAATAATCAAATTTAGTTAAGTGCATTTTAGTTGTAGCACTCACACAGAATTGCTCAATATCTCTCTTTCTGTAGTTTTTATTTCTGATAAAGATTAATAGCCAAGTGCTGACGAACAAGGAGTTATCCTCATCACCGGTCTTTAGGAGGGTTAGGATTCTTGCGTCTTCTGTGATACCTGGAACAGAGAAAAGGCTGCAGTGGATGCCAGCTCTGGAGAGTCTTTGATTCTCCCCACACACCCCCTTGTACTGAGTGGTCTGGAGGTTACGCAAGCGAGCAAAACACAAGGTGCAGGAGCACAACCCATCACCACTCATTACATGTCATCTCTGTTGTTCATGGTGTTACATAACCCCACTAGCTTCTGCTGCTACATCTGCTACAAGCATGCAACAATCCCATCAGCTCTACAGCTGAATAGGTACAAAGGCTGCTGTTTATTCTTCATCCTTTGTGTGAAGTTAATTTTATTACGTGGTTGGTTTTTCCTTCAGCTAAACTGATTGCTACAGAACAGAGACTCAATATTTAAAGGAGTTATGCTAGACTCTATGTTAAATAGTGTAATGTTTTGCAGATAAACTAAAAACCAAATTCTTCACAACAAAAACAATCCCTACTTTCCTCTTAATTGCCAACTCTAAAACAATCCAGATTCTGTTTGATGTTTATTAAAGTGACGGCTACCCTTTGGCCATAGAAAGCTCTACCAAGCTGGGAAAAACTAGTCCCAAAACAGAGTAATTAAAAAATTTCCCGTAGACAAAAAAAATAGGAAAAAAACCCCATCTGCCTGTTTCAGTCTCCATAGCTATAAGTTAGCAGCTGCCAAAGGCCGTAGTAACACAGACCAGAAAGGAGTGACACAAACTAGAAAGCCATTGATTTCCAGTGGTACACCTGAGTGTCTGGAGCTTTCTGTTTAAGCTCAGTTGTGCACATTTGTACCTCTCCTCCTCCCAGCTTTCCAAGTACAAGCCACACCAAGGTGTGCTTTTCACCAGTTCAGATGGAAAACCTCTACTGCTCTTAAGTATGAGAATCATCCCCCTCAAGTTTTTTTTTTCTGAGATATTGTTAAGGAATAGACAATGCATGTTTCCAAGCTGTGCTAGTTTATGTCCACTGAGGGTATTTTACAGACTAGGTTCTTTTATGCTGGCTTCACTTATGAAGCTTGAAGAAATCACCCGAACCAGCAGCTGACTAGATGGTATGAGAAATTTCTACTTTCTGACGTATTTACACAAAAAAAAGTTGGCAGCATTAAAAGAACCCCTTACAAAATACAGTCCTCCATTTACATGGTACTGCATTTAAGCTTTTATGTACTAGCCTGTGTGCTAATGGTACCTTGTTTCACATTACATCCTAGGTTGAAGCTAATCATTAAATTATTCCTGTATCTCCTTTTACATCCCAAAGAAGCAAACATGGAAAAGAAAATACTCACTGTCCCACAGGATACCAGCGATGTTTTGTTGTGTAAAACATTTTGCTGAGCTCTTCGATTGTAGGACCTCTCTTGTTCTTTAGCTCTTCTTCATTCAGTCGAGATTTCAAAACTTGATCAATGGTTTCTTCTTTATTATTTACAGGATCTGGCCGTGGTATGGGCTATGAAAACACTAGTGTAAATATTTCCTTTTTTTGACAAAAATCAAAAAGCCAGGCTATATAGATAGCATTACAATTTACTCTTAACAGATGAAAACAAAGGAATACAGAATGTCTGTAACTGTAGAGGCTGTTTACAGCCCACATCCACTCCCCCACCCCAAACAAACCCAACCCACTGTTTAGCAGGTGTTTAAAAACATCTTATTACCTCAGCTGCTAGGGCTGATTACCGTAAAACCAGCACTGCTGTTATCATCATTGCTGACCTTATCCTTACAAGTCGCTAGCTGAATCATAAGCTTCAGCTCTACCAATACAGAAGTACTCATTCCTATTTTGAGATTTATTCACAGCGACAATCATCATTGGTAGAACAGCTTTCAGATGGTCTATACCATGGAAAAGAATGTCACTTCCTAATTGTTTGTGCATCTGCCAAGACCCAAATGCTTGTCTCAAGCTGATACTTAACTACTAGCATTGTTACAAATTTTTCCTGGTTTAGTGTTTTATACCTGCTTTTCCTGAGAGACATGCAACTCCTAAGTTTAAAAATACTGATATGCAACTCACAGGCTTAGTATAATAGTGCTAAAGTGTTTTAAGTTTCCAAGGGACAATTTTCACATTGGGGATTTCTGCAACGTAGCTGCCACTTGTAGTATTTTACTAGCATGAGAACTGGAAATTGAAACAAAAAAAGAGTACACTAGGAAAATTTCTCTAGACTTACTTTCATCGGTGTAAAGAACACACTGAAAATACTACTGAGAGATAAAAAAAATCAGTATTTCATTTTTTTTGTGGCATTTGTGAACCCAGAGCTCAAGTTGAAAACAGCAGCAGTAGCACTTGGTCATGTCCTTGCCTGCTGCATCTGTACACGATGGGATGTGTCAACTATCACTTGTATTTCAAACACTCTTTGAGGGGTACACTCACAGACACGCTCATTTTATCTGCAGCACACAAGTATTTGAGTGCCTCATTTAGCTCTGAGTGACTATGTGCTGTGATACCCAAGCACTGCTCATGCTACTTTCCCTCAATTCAGCTAAGAATAAGGGTCCTCCTAACTGCAGCAGCTACATTCATCATTCACTTACTTCACAGACATGCTGATCACTTACTAAAAAGCAACCCAGTATTTCCAAGTAAGAAAAGACACACCAAAGACTCAAAATTATGCCTTGACAAGAGTAAGAAATATAAATGTGTGCATTTGGACATACTTTTGTATGCTCGTATGGAATCTCAAGCGAAGGGTGGTAGCAGACAATTGTCTTCAAATCTGATGTCACCGCAAGTTCCACTTTGCTATAAAAATACAAACACTCTTAAATATATCCTTTACAATTTTCAGAAGTCCTGAGCAACTGAGTCCCAAAGAAAACCACATTTGACCCCACATTTACAAATTCTTAAGAATATTCTATAAGATAAACCTTTATGAGGGTCACAAAGACTTGATCTGAACTTCCTGGGTTTTGTGTTTGTTTGTTTTTTTTTTTTTTTTTTCCCCTGCCCTTTTTTTTTTTTTTTTTGTAATGGAGAGAGAAAAAAGGCTAAAATAAGTATAGTTGGAAATAGGAGTTGGGGAAAAAACCCTTTTAACACTTCAAATAATTGCATATAAAACTGATACCAGCAGGTAGGGATAAGGATGTCTAGGACAACATGCCTTTATAAGAAGCATGACACCTACAACAGATAGAAAACAAAGCTCTGTTCGGAGTTCCAATTTTTATATTGGGTAAAAGAGCATGAGCATGGTGAACGAGAAGTCCTACTGACAGGTTCCTTGAGAGAATATAACTCCCTCCTCAATTCTTTCCTTATTAATTTCCATGACACATGAGCTTCTTAAAACCTTGTATAACATGGATGCTGCATTTCTCACTGTATTTGTATAATCTTCTCTGGCTTCTACTCAAGTTTCCCACGCAGAAGCACAAACATTCCTGGACTTTGTCTTAACAACTAGGATCAATGGAGACGACTGCTCTTCCACAAGCACAGTGGAGGGGGACTGGGTTCATTGCCACGTTCAGGATGAGTTCTGCAAGATTTTGCATCACGTTCATTTTTTGAAATACTAACTTCACAATCATTATGGTCATAAACAGTACTTCAGTTAAAATTATGATACATAGCCAAAACTGACAGGAGATGTATTTGATGTATGACAACTTCATGATAGAAAAAGTAGCCCTAGAGTAAATGTCACATGAAAAGGCCACATGTGCAAGCACATGTTAAGTACCAGTTGTAGTCTTCAGGGAGGACCGCGTACGTGGATTTATGGCGAGCGTGACAAACGGCTCCATCTGCGGGAAAAAAAACACCAAGCAAGGAACACTGATGTGAAAACAAGCAGAGCTGTGCCAAATTTAAGAATGTTTACATTTGCATTCCATTAAGTCTTAACTGGGGATTAGAATCGCACTCTGTTTTAGATTAACAAAGCCCAAATACCTCCTAAATAGAACTTTGTTTTACTACGCAGATTTGTAGCACAATCAAAAAATACAGTATCTAGGTATTTATGGCCTATATTTAACTTCCCAATCATGTTGTTTTCTTAAGAAAAATCATGATATGAGCAAAATACCTACAGATTTCACCATTGGAGCATAATCGTTATGCGTGCCAAGAATATCACCATTTGATTTACAGGGAAGATCATAATTTTGTTCAAAATTGATTATAAAAATCAATTTGTACTTGCTAGTGACTGCCATATGTGCTATTCTAAGCACAGTAACTGTAAAGCCTTGGCTGTTGCAACACTAGAGAACTTCACCCCTTTGCTCAGGTTCCTGTTGCTCCAAGGAAAGTAATGATAAGAATTACAAGTGCTAAAGGCAGCCAACAGCATCAGGGACTGTACTACGGGCACAGAGGGAGGCGATTATCTCCTTCCACTTGGCACCTGTTAGGCCACACCTAGATACTATGGCCAGTCTGTATCCTTTTACTGTAAACTGAACATAAGCTGCTAAATAGTAGCAGTGCCTTATCTAGGATCCACACCACAGGCTTCTTGCCTTCCACAACCATGCAGGTGTATGCATGCCTAAGATGGGCCTGGGAGGTGCTTGTCCTTGACTTTTGCTTGTCAAGCCCCTCCTTCGCTGCCAGAACCTGACACAAACCCACACCAAAGTTTCCAAGTCCAGCAAAGATTCTTCTACCACCACCATACTTCAAGAGCTGAATTCCAGTCACAAGAACTAAGCCAGAGGATGAGCCTTCCGTTTTAAAATAAGCCATTAAAAGGTTTCAACTCCTTTTCTGATGTGTTATTTTACGTAGACTACACCTCTAGTTCTAATACAGATAGGTTTTGTATTGGCTCGGTGTGTATTTCGCTTGGCTGCTCATAACAGAGGGGGAAAGAATTCAGCGTGTCAAAATTGGGAAAACTGAAATAACCAAAAAGAAAGTTTTATGTAGCTATTTGCCTCTCAGAAATATTTTATATGTAAAGTTATTGAATATAAATATAGCTAATATATTTAAATATATATTTTAGATATAAAAATTCTACATTTAGAATTTCTGTTAGCACTTCCATGCTTTAGTTCCTCCAGTTAAACCATTCTTAGTTAAGAAGTTTTAGTTTCTGACCAAATAGTACTGCAAATTGCTCCTATTTCTTCCCCCTCCTTGCCCACTAACCTCTAAAATGTAACATGTCCATTAAATTTTCTTAATGCCTGTCTTTTCTGCCACCTTTAGTACCTTCCTTACATCTTCCTATTAACATCTAAAACAGACAAAAATCTAAAAAAATAATATTGCCTGTTTTCACTTGTTCTCTGTTTATGTTATGAGATTGTACTGTGGCCTTTTCTCATCACTGTTTGTAAGTCTGAAAAAAAATAAATTTAAATCTCCAAATATAATCAGTGGTAAGAGGGGTGATATTTACAAGCTAATTAATAAATTAAAGGACCATCTTTGGGACCATAGACTCTTTCAAAAAACAAACGAACCAACCCAAGATATCCTTTAATTATTAGCAGGGAACACACAATATCAGACTTGATTCTGTTCAAATAAAAATCTACTTCCATGCTTCCACTACTCTAAACAGCCCAGGAACAAGGCACTCCCAGAACACATCTTAGCCTAGGGCTTGTACAGTTTCACCACTACTTACTGTGCAGCAGGGCCTGCTCACAGGCCGCTAGCAAAGGCGCCCAGGGGCGGCTGTACCAGGCAGCTCTGAGGGGTGCTGCCATGCCGGCTGTGGGCAGGAGGCCAGTCCTGGCTGAGATGGAAACCAAACCCACACCGTATCCTTTTTGCCTTTTTTTTTTCTCTCCACAGAACACCTTCTGAAAGAAAACAGTTTCAGAACTGTTCAGCATACAAAACACTGACAGTTTAATTCCTCAAATATCTTAAGGACAAATAAGATCTGTGCAGTATATTCTCCATTATTTGTCAGTTTTTTACAAGTCATTATTTAAGGTACTGGCACCTGCCTCCTTAATAGTCAAATGCAGTACAAGTCTTATTTACTGAGAGGTACTCTCTGAAGGCACATCATTAAGTAAAAAAAAAAAGTTTCCAAGCTCAGGTCTTCTCACAGTTTTTCTACTGATAACCACCCACCTAAGTTTTACATACTCCCTTCTGGGCACTCCACAGAATTATTCCTGAAACATGCTTTTCTTGTTCACGATATAAATAACATTGCCCAGCAGAAAAACAGGAGTACTTAAAAATACCACTTGCTAAAGTTTAACCATCTAGATGCAGTTGATGTCATCATCCCAAAAGCAATACACCTAAAAGCTACGAAACACCATTCAGAATACCTTAAATATTACTCAAAATTTCACAGAAGCAGAAAGACAGGTCTTAAGTTTTCACTATCGACAAAAAAAAAAAAAAAAAAAAAAAAGCCTCGGGCATTCCCAGACCTGAGGCCACTCGCAGAAAACTTCAAGGCCTGTCAACAACAAGCAGCAATACCAAACCTGCCACCTATATTATTAAACATAAATGCGTAGCTGGAGGGGTAGCCGTTATAAACCCAGGCCTACGGGCTATTAAAATCACCCCGAGAGAGGAACGCAGCGATGCAGCCCCTCCGAAAGCACCCAACTCCTTTCTCCGGCCCGTACCGGAGGCCCGGCCTGCGGCTCCCCCGCCTGGGCCAGGCACCCATCCCCATTCACTACAAAACAAGGCGGCGGCGGAGCGGAGCGGGGCGGGGCGGCTCGGCTTCCC